CCCCCCCCCCCCCCTCCTCACGAGTAGTGGATGGTAATAGAATAGGCCATTTCCGAGTTGCCCCGGGCCTCTACATCGAAACGGGGTTAAGTTCTCAGCCTTTGATATGGAAATGATTATTCATTCTCATGCAAATAAAACTCATTTTCGCAAGAATTGTTGTGCACTTGGCCTCACTTTGAAAATGAGGATTTTTGGAACTCGGAAGTGGCCTATTTGGCACTCACTGTCTTAATGAGATATATGTACTTTTTCATAACGTTTCCTACGTTTGTGTATTCCTGCGCAAAACGATGATATATTTCACCGCAAAAATATGACAATCAGGTTCCCTTTACTTCTATTTCAAGAAAACATAACGTTTATTTGCCTGTGGAAGGTTGACTTTTGAGCACTGTGTTCCAGTCCACCATTCTGAAATGCGTGTTTTACCCGCCACACCTCCATCAGGAGCACCTTGGTAGGCCATCCAGTCCACCGTGGCAAATTCTTTGATAAAGCGATCATTTCTTCCTGCTGCAGTCACGCACACCTAAAGATTAGATGCCGAATGGCTAATGATTATATGGCATGTTGAGATACGATCTCGCAATCACTAATGATCATTGGTGAATTTAGGAATTAAAAAATGTACATGGTCAACAAAGACTTTACTAGTTAGCCATAACTACTGACCTTAAAAATGGAGACTCCAAGTTATTTTGAAGACCTCCCAATAATTACCCAACGCATATTTCTGTCAGTAATCTATTTACCGGGCAGGTAAATTTACTGAGAAAGCGAGTGAATCAGTTGTGGAAGAAAAAGCGATGTTTTTTAAAAAGGGTTTTGCACTTTTCTGAGGTGATAAGGACTAAGCGCTGATTTGGATTTAAAAACCCAAGTGACATGAAACCGACAGCGAGAGGGTCTTCATCCCAGCTATCACGAAGCAAACAAGGACATTTATATATATTTGTTTAAATACAGAGGATTAAAATTGTTTGACCTATCAAGTGTTGAGATCGACTGACGATTAACTGAGATTCCTCTTTGGAAATAAAAAAAAAATGCGAGAAAAACGGCAACACTTATGACTACAGAGGTCACAAACTACCAGCGCTTAAATTTTGTACCGGCGCGTTAGGAACAAGCTGAAATGAATCGTCTAAATATTGACCTCAAAACTCTCGTAGTTGACTATTTGTGCCCAGGAAACGGTAGCATCATGTATATAATTTTTCCTGCTTATGTTCCAGTGATTCGTCGTTATTTGTACGTGCACTTGTTCGTCGGGATAGAACGAAAACGGTGGAAATTTCACTACTTCACAGGCCGTTTCTGCCCACTGTACATGTCTTTTCATCAAAACTCGCCCGGTCTGGACAGGAAAGCCTAGAGACAGAAACACAGCCATGAATAAGGGAATGACAAAACTGTAGATTAAAAGAACAAAACGACAATTGTAACTACGCTGGTATTACATAGCGATGTATTGATAAGTGAGCCAATAGCTAACGAAGAAAGATATGAAACGTAAAACACTATTTCCTTTCTATGTGTAATTAAGGGAGTAAAATAAAGCTATAATCGTACCGGTGACCGGAGGAAGTGGGACTTAGAGGAAACACTGGTATTGCCAGTATGAAAGCATTATTAAGGTATACTAATATACAGATTTAGCCAGAGCTGAAAGCAAAGCTGTCGTTAATATGTAGCAACGGTAAATACTTGGACCTTGAAAAAGGCTTCCGAGGGAATTCATCTCTCTTAGAAAAAAAGAGTTGGACTTGAGTCTGCAATCAAATTACAGCTAATAACTGTGACCTAGAAGAGTTGTTATCTGACCCCACGATACGGTTATTAAATACCCTTCAGTGGCTACCCTGTTTTGAGAGCTCTCAATTAAGCTTAACTTAAAAGTCTTAAATTCAGTTCAACACAGGTTACAGGTTGTCTCACGTGCTAGAAAGTGACATTTCACACTAGTTTCCCTGTGGTGCGGACGGACGCCGGGGTGGACGGACAGGTGGACGGGCGAATGGTCAAATAATTTCCAAATTTTCTCGGATGCCAAAATAGATGACCAAATTTTGTTACTCGTGGTATTCCGCTGCACATGTTTCGTGTACGCAAGGGCTTCCACTAAAAGGACATAAAATGGTACGCTCTGTCCCTACAGCTGCTACGTGTTTCTTATTTGCTAAAGCAGTCGAACAAGGCCCCTACTTTAAGAGCTTGTACGTTTTTAGCACGACACAAGCAATTAACACGCTCTTGATAGCCTGGGAACCTTACCTGTACAGCTGCCTGGATGGTAGAGGGTGTGATTACTTTTGTGTTGGCAAATGTCCAGCAAACAGAGGCACTTGTTCTTGAATGTTGTCGAGTTAGATGAACACACAGGTTCCTCGTAAGACGGGCAGTTGTCATCACAAACACAACGGGCATCAAATGCCGAGAAAGCTTTGCAGATAGCATGGTATTCGCAAGTAACGTTTGTGCACGGGTCTATATCTTTAGGGCAAAAAAAAAAGAAAAGAAAAGAAGAGAGCGAAAGGTTATCTGTCTATCGATAACGATCTTACCACACAATTTTCAAGGGCAACCGCTGGTTTTCTGCAACATCTAATTTGTTATTCCATGCATGGCATACGGGGCTATGTGGGTTACTAAGTACGACTATTTATGACTGACAAATCTTTCAAAACAAAGAATAAAATAATATAACGGGAGAAGTATGTACCTCCCACTATAGCATAGTCCACTGTAACTGGATCGTGAGACTTGCTCATTCCCTGGCTGTCTTTGATGCACACTTTGAAAGACAAACGGNGAAAGCTTTGCAGATAGCATGGTATTCGCAAGTAACGTTTGTGCACGGGTCTATATCTTTAGGGCAAAAAAAAAAGAAAAGAAAAGAAGAGAGCGAAAGGTTATCTGTCTATCGATAACGATCTTACCACACAATTTTCAAGGGCAACCGCTGGTTTTCTGCAACATCTAATTTGTTATTCCATGCATGGCATACGGGGCTATGTGGGTTACTAAGTACGACTATTTATGACTGACAAATCTTTCAAAACAAAGAATAAAATAATATAACGGGAGAAGTATGTACCTCCCACTATAGCATAGTCCACTGTAACTGGATCGTGAGACTTGCTCATTCCCTGGCTGTCTTTGATGCACACTTTGAAAGACAAACGGGTGATTTCCTTTAAGACGGAACAAATCGTGAGATGTGGAGGTTCACTTAAAAAAGATTCTTAGCTGTTACCTCTTAAGAAAGAACTACTTTTCAGTGTTGAAATTTTTTATATTAAATGACGACAGCCAAATCCTGGTGTTTTATCCAAGACAAAAATATAGACATAAATAACAAAACAGCAAAGAGAAAAGCGACTTGAGCCACGTTTCTCTTCGCTGTTTTGTTATTATGTCTATACTTCTTTTCAGATCTGAAAAGGGGTTCTGTTAAGCGCTACATTGAAAAACGGCCTTCGCAAACTAGACATTCATGGTTGTCGACAACTATCTTTTATCGACATGAATCGACATCTCACTGTGTCTTACTCAAGCATTCCACACAGTGATGTCTTTAATTGCCGATAAAAAAAAATCATTTCAGCGATACAATTTTGGAAAGTAACATCTACTGCGCAAGCTTGTAATGTACATTTCAAAATGGCGGCTATAAAACAACAAGTTGTCGACAACACAACAAGACAGTTTTGCTTTTCTAAAAAGGAAAACCGTTTAGTCGTGGAGAGATATCTGAGGATAGTTTAGAGATAGCCTAAAAGGTTTCTTACCTCAATCCAAACAGTAAGAGCGTTGCTATAGCGACCATCAGCCTTCATCCACAAGGCTCTAGTGTCGTTGTCATGACTGACAGATCTAGAATATTGGGCGGCTCGTAGAATGGATTTTCAAATTTATAATCCTATGGACCATGAATAAGCAAGGAAAACATTATTTCAACGTGTGAAGACTGGAATGTTCAAAAATTCGATGGCTGTTATTCATTCAGAAGAATTTGCTGTTCGTCTATTTGTTTTTATTTATTTTTTGTTTACTTTTTGGTTGAAAAACTTAGGTCAGATAACTCTACTAATGGCTGCACTGCCTGAACAGTTGACGCATTAAAGACAACATTCTTCAGTTAAACAAGAAGGCCCGGGCATATTTGTGGTCAAGAGCGAGATCATCTCCTCTTGGGGGATTAAGAAAAAGGCGATTACAACATAAACATTTTTAACTGTTGACCACACTAGTTTAAAGGCTTATGTAACTTGTGTTGACGTCAAGGTTTCTAACCTGACAAAAGGCATAGTTGTTTTCACTTGTTGGTGCACCAAGTCCAGAAAACCGAAGCTTGCCTTGTTCAGTAAAGTTCCAAGGCGCCGGTAGCACATCATATGCAAGCCAGTTCTGGTAAAACAATACACCTAAGAGTCACTTGTGCATGACCTGTTTACAGTTTGTTTGCAAAAAATTTATGGCTAAGCTGGGAACCCCGAGAAAAAAAAAAACATTATCTGCTAGCCGAGCAATACTAAGAAGGTAAGATGACTGATTTAGATTCACCATATCAATCGTTTCTTTTTACTAAATAATGCACATCTTTTGCTCGGATCTGTCCTCATTTTCAAGTAACTTAAAGTTCAACTTAAGGTGTCATGATACTATTTATATGCATGTTGGTTATGTTTTTGAACCGCGGTTTTCAACAGAAACCTTTAAACGGATTCATATGATTTTTTTTTGCATCCTTAACAAAGAATGGTGGCACTTTTAGAACATGCTATTTACATGTATTTTCTTGAAGATATAAAAACGCTTCAGAAATCGGAGTATATTCGAAACTGCATTTTTTATAACTTCAAAATCCTACGACAGATTTTTCACTAACTTCAGCAAATAATCATTTGAGCTCTTTAGCTTTATTTCTGCAAGTTTGCAGTCAATCCTGACCGTACACATCCCCGCACAAAATGCTGGTCAAATTTAACTGAAAATATTGTTTCTCGCAATTTATTCAAGCTTTTAAGATTCGCTATCACATTCGCACGGGAAGTTTGCCACTTGAGGATAAAGATGAAGAAAAATATGATTATCGTCTCAGTTGTCTTTTCATTATCCCCAATGGCAAACTGCCCATGCATGCGAATGTGATGACAAATCTACTAAGCTTGAATAACTTACCAAATACAAGAGTTTAATTCATGACAGCTAAAAAATGGATGGTTTGAAGTGCTGGAGTTGGGGGCTTTATAAGTTCTCCTCAGAAGGGGCCGGGGGCCTAAAAACTGGTAAAATAAATAAATAAAAACTCGGTACTAAAAACTGGTAGAAGATTCCCGTAGCTGCTCTCTTTTGCTTTGTTAAGAGTTTTTTTGAAAAGAAAAGGACAAATGAACAGAACTTCAATTTGATAACCGGAAGTTCTTTAATCTCACCCCGTATTCAGCATAAAGTTGCTCTTTTTGTAGTGCGAACCATATTCTCCGCAGGCTTCCATTACTCAGTCTCTTGAAAAAAAACTTTTGGGTAAGAATACCCTACCCTGCAGATAGGAGATCGTCCGTCGGCACTCTTCCTCTATTTTTGCGTCAACTTTCCCAAATGTGTTAGCGTAACATTAAGAGTTAAATTTGTCCTGCATTTTGTGCAGCAAGTTGTATGGTCACGATTGACTTTAAACTTGCTAAGTAGGATTTCGAAATAAAGCACTTTTCTTAGTAAAAATGCGATTTAAATACATGCCGATATCTCAAACCGTGTTTTTATACCTACAAGAAAATAAACGACATCTTATTAAAAAGCCACCATTTTTTTATTAAAGACGCCGAAAATCGTAGAAATCTGTTAAATCTTTCTTGCTGAAAAACGGCATTCAAAAACATAACCATCACGCTTATAAATTAAGGTTCACGTGGCCACCTTAATCGGGTGAAATTGTGGCTCAGCGGTAGAAAAATTGATGTTAAACGTGCACCGGTCTCCAAACTAAAATATATTGTTAGAGTGTACAATATTTGTAAACCTTGAAACTTAGAAGCTGAAAAAATAAAAGAATTATTATTATTAATAATAAATTTGATTTGATGTCGCGACCAAATATTTGTTCCTGTCTTTTTCCTATTAAGTCAATCAAGTTCGAAATACAAACATTTTGAAGCGAATTTGTAAGGATAAGGGTCAGGCTTATGCCGGTGAGTTCTGGTATCACATAAACCCTATCCGGGAAGTTTCGAAAATAAAAACGAGTCGAAGTTTTTCAATTTCAACTCACCACTTTAAGACCTGCATGAATTCCGTCGAAGCTCATAAACTCTCTCAAGCAAACAATGAAGCCGGCTGCTTTGACGTCTTCTAGCCAGATATTCATGGAATCAAAAGGTCGGTCAGTATATTTGCGTTGAACGGTTACAAACACTTGAGGTTTTACCTAAGATAAATCACAGAAGAAATGTTAATAGGCTGTTGGCATTATTTTAATATTGCCAACTTGATGCTAAGGTGCACGTATCTTTAGGTAGTGGTGACTTTGACTCTATCACCTTCCAACAGGTTTTACGGCGGTAATATCCATCAAAGATTAGAAGTATTGAATAGCTTTGGCACGGTTGCGTCAAATTCCCCTTCAAGTTACCTAACAATACATTGATCTTTGGACAAATAATGAAGTATTGATTACACTCTGCCTTAGAGTTTCCAGTTGTTAGCGGGATTCTGGATTCGTTGAGCTGAATTACAAGACTTTGGATTTCACAAGCAAAAATTTTGCGGATTCCAAAAATCCGGATAATCTTACATGGGATCACAGACGCCCTATACGACGTTTCCTACCCAACTGCGTTTTTGTCTAGCTACATGGTAGTATAGTGTCGAAGTTAAATGGGTCTGTTGCCTTTCTGGGTACCGTATATAATGAAGACAGGTGTGATTAGATTATACTGCGAGCTCACCTGATTCTGAATACTCAGTGATATCTTTTTGCATTGTGTCCTTGAGGTGAAATCGCTAAATTCGACGATCCCTGAGTGTATGCCTTGATGAGAACCTTGAAATGCAAGCCAGTTGATCACAGACGTGCCATTAGAGCCACTACCTGCCTCGCGCACGCAGGCTTCGAAACCTGTTTTTGACACCGACTCTACCCATAGAGACGCTGGGTCGTGGATTGCAACATATTTGTTGCCGTGACTGAGTGTCGCGAACACCTTTATATCGTCTCCCGAACCCTGGAACTGAGTCTTGAAAGAAACGGTCTGGCAGCCGTGGTTGTTTTGGGAAGTGTCGGTAATATTGACCTTTCCAACTTGAAAGACCACCGCTTGAAAATGTAGACAAATTATTACTGTTATTATTATTATCATTATTATTATTATTATTATTATTATTACTATTATTATTATTATCATTATAATCTTCATCACTATTATTTATTCATTTTTTTTTTTTACAACGAGCCG